AGAGAAAAATAAAAGTTTTTACAATTATATTTCGAAGCAGATTTAACTGATATCCTTTTTTTTTTAAGTATTTGAAGACAATAAAAAAACATGTGTTTCGCGACTTTGACTTTGCGTTGATTGCCACCTCAAATACTATGGCAATGTCGCCATTTTGTCGCTAGAAAGTTTCCACACAAAAGTAATCAGCTGTATCGCAAGGTGGAAAATTTTGCGGCAAATGCGACATTTACAGTAACTTTGCGACGTTTCATGAATTCCACTATATTTCTTAAGGTATATAACCGAGCTATCAATGGGTTCCCACTTCTACTTGACCTTTGACGTACGTCAAAGGGAACATAGTACTTTTAATGATATTTTTTTGCTGTACTTTAAATACCTGCATTGGTTTCTTTCTTTATTACGATTTTTTGGACCAATCCAAAACATTACTAGACACAAAAGAAGAAAGTGTGCACTGTAATTCTTAACCAAATTTTCGTGTTTTGCCTTTGATGTTACATATATTCGTTTCAGTAATTTCTAATATGGCTCTTTGGGGAATTTATTTTTAGCAAAAATTTTAAAAGCCGTAATTTTGTTTCCTTGCCGGCTTAAAAAAGAAAATAAATATATTCTGATCCGATTCGGATGGCAGCCACGACTTTGAAAACAGAATTTTGTTCAAAACTTTCATTGCTGGACAAAAATAATTTATTACCATATCCACCTATTTAGCTCACTATAAGCACAAATTTTTCAAACCAGTCGCAGAAGAAAGTATTAAAAATGAATTAAAAAAACTATAATCGAAAAACGCATATGAAGTTACAGGTTCCCCAAATTCTGAAACAGCCAAAGGAATCAGAATGAAGAATTCTTTTTAAAAAGCTATAAAAAATCTGCCACATCTGGTTTGGCTTGTAAGCGCTGTTTAAGCAACGGTCTCGCCATTATGCTAGATTCTAATTGTTTCTTAAAAATACCTGACATCCGCATTCGCATCCGCGGATGTCTGAAATTCCACATTCGCAACATCCCTAGTACGTACATGCTTATGTATCTATGCTATATGTATGTTTACGCACACACGTGCTTTCAATTTGTATTGCGAATAACAAAAATATAAAATGAAAAATTTTTATCAAGTGCATGCTGTGTATGCTAGATAACATACAATCAGGCGCAAAATTTAAACAAATCGTTTGGCTTAAAGTATAGGGTGAGATAGAGCTTAAAGTATGCAACGAAAAGCATTTACTTCCGTTTACTTTTATATCAGTGGTGCCTACAAAAACTAAATATGATTGCGACACCATTGCGATAGTGATAGAGAGTGCTGATAGCCTTTCGGATCGCATTCGCTTTTCGAACCGCATTGTTTTTCGTATCGCATTACAGAGTAACCCCCCAGGTCTTGAAATTAGATACATGTTTTAGCAAATTTTATGTAGTTTCTTAGCATATAATTTTATACTTTCGTAATTTTTCGATTTTCAGCTTCTTTTTGCGTAATTACGCGAAAAGAATTTTTCGAACAAGGAAAAAATCACACCGAACATGGCGAAAAAAGAAATATTTGCACCTATGTAATTTATAAGTATAACCTTTGTTTTTCTGGGAGCGGAAAGCAGAAAAAAACTATTAACCAAAACTCCTTCACATTTATTGATTGGGCCTAAACGCAAAAGCGCGTTTTAGATGTTTTAGTAATCCGATCATCCTCATATTTTATATTTAGGATTTTCTAAGTTTCATCGAAATCGGATGAAATTTTATCTTTCAGCCCACATGAGTGGGGGGCGTTGCAATTATCCCATCTTTACCAAATTTTAATCGTAATTGTGTGTTTCTTAGAAAAATAATGTCAAGTTTCAGTAAAATCGGTGCACGTTAACTGTAATTTCCACCTGCGTCCATAATGCACAGCAAAGCAACAAAACAAACGCTAATTTTTGCCTTTTGCATTTTCGCATCAAAGAGTGAACCGCCTTATTGATAGTGTAGTGCTTGCTTCGGCTGAATAGATGGCTACTACATGTTTTTACCAAATTTTACAGAGGAAACTAAAATTTTTTAGCGGCATAAATTGGAACTAAGCAAGCACTAAATTATTGCATATGTGCCAAACCAGTCGGTGAATGTTATAGTGATTACTTCAGGGACGTGGAGTATTTACATAGTAAAACCGGTCAAAATTATTCGGTTTGTTTTTCTGATAAGTAATGAAAGAAAGCAATGAACTTAATCATATTTAGGTATTTATATGAGAAAAAAGGATAATTACATTTACCTTAGGTTCATTTTCGTGAAATATTCTTCCATCGAATACCATGGGTCCATTCGAAAGCGGCATTCATATTTCTGGGGCATATTTAGAACGGCGAGTCCGGTTTGCCCTCTGTTTTTTCAGATTAGCACTCATTTTCGAATAATTGCGAATTGTGTAAAAATTTCAGTTTCTAAAATTTTGATACTTTCTCAATTTAAATTAAATAAAAAACCTAAAAATATAAAAAAAAAGAATGCGGTAAAGTGTGCTAAAGACTCATACGTTCTCTTCGAAGCTGAGTAGAGAGTGTTATTGTCCAGTTTCCTAGTCCTTCTAAAGATATTCCGAGGGAAATTTTTCAACATACATATATCGTGTAGAGTAAAGGTGGGTAATATGGACCACGCGGGTAATATGGACCACCTAGTTATCTTGAATTTCAGTTGTTAAATCCTCCGTTACTGCCGTTTGATTTGTTCGTCTTTTCGCGCAAGCTTCCTCAGTTTGAATTTATCGTTCAGCAAGTGCGGATATTCGAGCAATAGTGATTTTTGTAAAATAGTGGTTGCTGATAATTATATGTGCGTAAGTGAATTTTGGGTTTTTATTTAAAATTTATTGTGCAATGAATAAATTGACAAATAACGTGTGTTAAATAAATACTTATTGTTAATTTTGAATGGTTATAGTTTAATAAATATAGTTCAGATTGGAATTAAACTCAGTTATATCGCCAGCACATGTTGAGTGTAATATGGACTACCACGGTTGAGGCTAATATGGACTAGTGGTCCATATTACCCGCAGAACAATTCTTGCTCTTTTAGCTCGATTATCTTTGAGTTCATTAAGATCTTATTAATGTAGGATATGGCTCCTGGTAAGCGTAAAAATTGGAATCCCGAGGACATGAAAAAGGCGATCACAGCGGTGCGATCTAATAGCCGCATCTGAAAGCAGCTAAGATGTACAATGTCCCTAAGTCAACTTTAATAAGGCTGGCGTTATAGAAAGACACGGAAATCGAAAAGGTCGTAAACACTAAATTAGGGCGCAAACCAGTTTTTCCCGAAAATTTTGAAAAGATGTTGGTGGATTACGTTTTGACGATGGAATCGAAATTATTTGGTCTAAGCAGAATGGATGTTAAGTACTTAGCCTATCAACTGGCAGAAAAAAATAATATTATGCACCCATTTTCAAAAGAAAATCAGCTTGCGGGTAAGGATTGGCTGCGCTTGTTTTTAAAGAGGAACGCAAATTTAGCGTTCCGCTCTCCAACGGGAACTTCATTGACAAGAGCACGAGGTTTCACAAAAGATAATGTGAATGCCTTTTTTGATATCCTTGAAAAGGAAATGGACACGTTTAATTATTCAGCCAACAATGTTTTTAACGTTGATGAAACAGGCGTAAGTGTGGTTCCATCAAAATTACCCCAAGTATTGTCAAGGAAGGGTAAAAGGCAGATTGGTAGCCTTACTTCTGCAGAGAGGGGATCTATGATCACAACTATTGTTTGTATGAGTGCAGGTGGAATATTTGTTCCACCATTATTTATATTTCCACGAAAGAAACGCTCAGATTTGTTGTTAAAAGGAGCGCCACCAGGATCAATATACGAATGTCATCAATCCGGTTGGGTTCAAACATACATTTTTACAATATGGTTTCGGCACTTCATAAAACACGTCAAACTATCAGCTGCTTCACCAGTATTGCTCGTCTTGGATGGTCATTCGAGTCATACAAGAAATATTGAGCTTGTTGATTTGGCTAGGGAAAATCACGTATCTATCGTATCCATCCCTCCACACTCAAGTCACAAAATACAGCCGCTAGATAAAACTTTCATGGGACCTCTTAAGAGTTATCTTTCGGAAGAAATACGTGTTTGGGTGCGTTCGAACGGCAGAGCTTTGACACACTTCGATATGGCAGAGCTATATGGAAAGGCCTATTTGCTAGTTCAGAGTGGGGAAATCGCAATTAATGGATTTCGCACAACCGGTATATTTCCTTTCAACCGGTATATATTTCGCGACGATGAGTTTTTAGCTGCCGCTGATGTAGCATCGCATTCTCCTCCTCGAGAGTCTGAAAGCACTTACGAAGTACCAGAGGAAATACTAAGTAACGAAACCATTGTAGAGAGTCCGCATCCAATAAGCGATATTTGTAATGAAAATGTAAATCGTTCAGTTCTAAGCGAATCGGAAACCACGTCTAGGGTCATAACACCGATGGAAATATCTCCGGTTCCTATAAAAAAAACAAAGTCTTCCAATCATGGCAGGCCAGCAGGAAAGTCCACGTTGATAACATCTTCGCCTTATAAAAAATCTTTAAAAATTTCATTGGAGAAAGCATCGGAAAAGAAACCTCTAAGAAATACTAACAGACGCCAGGATATTGATTCGAATGAACCCAGTTCTTCCAAGGGAATTATCAAAAAACTAAATTTTGCGAAAGGAAAGTGTACAGGTAAGACTGCTTAAATAAAGATTTTGATTAAATTTTTAAAACTTTCGTTCCCTATTTTTATTCAAGAACCCAAAAAAACACCAAGATGATTCTAGTCAACCCAGCACTTCCAAAGCACTTATGAAAAAAATAAATTCAGCAAGAGAAAAATGTGCAGGTAAATCAAGGTTTTGATTTGACATTTATAGATAACACTTTATTCTTTATTTTCATTTCAGGAAAAAGGAAGAAAACAAATTCCTCATCCTCCTCGGACTTGGATGACAATTACAGTGTCCGAGACGACTCTGACGGTGAAATTGTAGAATTTGTAAACGCAGCTGAGAAAGAGGATGCGAAGTGCCTATATTGCTCTACGTTTTATTCGGAAGATCGGTCTGGTGAAATATGGGTTCAATGTGTCTCTTGCAAAAATTGGAGCCATGAGGAATGTGCTGGTTGTGAACAAGAGCTCTTTATATGCGACATGTGTGCACAATAATCACTTCGGCTAATATGGACTACCTGGTCCATATTACCCCCCACTATTTTTTTGCGCCTTTCTGGGTATTTTTACGTTTTTTCAGTTTATAATATATTTTGCGTTTAAAGTTCTTGTTTCACAAAAAAAAAATAAAAATGAATTGTTTTTTTAAGTTAATCAAATAAATTTGATTGTATTATTGCATGTATTTGGTGAACTATATACCAAAAAAAGATTGGTGGTCCATATTTGCCTACTTTACTCTATATAAATTGAAAAATCACCGCAATTTAAAATTTGTATGGCCTTATTCATAAAAAATAAAGTAGTCTTATAAAAGGTTTATAAATTGAAAAATGTATGAAAACGTCAATTTATAAAGCTCTTTAAACATACTTTATTTTTTATGAATAAGGCCTTTAGAGTTGTGATGGTTTTCAATTTCTTGAAGTTTCCCATTTTAAATAACTTGAGCGGAATTCCAAAATTTTCTAAACTTTCGAAACTTTGTGAATTTGAGAAATTTTAGTAAATCACAATAATTTAATATAATGATGAACACTAGATTTCTAGAAATTTTTTGTTTTTCAAAAATTTTGAGAATTGTAGGAATTTTAACAAATTTTTTCTACGTGTAAGTGTCGAATATACAAAATTGATCAAACGAAATTAAAAGTTTTCGAATGTTGAAAATATTTTCATATTTCGTCGTTTTTGAAAGTTTAAAAAATTTTCGTAATTCTTGAAGATTCAAAAAATTTTTGGACGTTGATGTTTTCAAAATTTTCAAAAAATTTAAAATTATCAAACTTTGTTATATCAATACAAAATTTTGGAAAAGTTCCGAAAAGTGGGAAAATTTTGGAATTTTTCAAAAATGTTAATATCTTTTAGAATTCTAAGAGTTTTCTATTTTTTACACACAAGTACCATGAACAAGAATTTTTCGACAATTTGTGATGTTTCACATATTTACATTTTAGGGTGGATTTTAAGATGAATAAAATTCTCAAAATTTTGGAAAATATAAAAAATTTCTAAAATGTCAATAATTTTGTACATTTCAAAATATTCACATTTTACCAAAGTTTCTAGAATCTCCCGGATTTAGATAGTTTTTGAAATTTTGGAAATTATCCTAAGAATAAGAAATCTCAAGAAATTTAAAAATAATAATTTTCGTTGTTTTCTGAACCTGCGAAAATATTCAAACTTGCTGTGACTTTCAACTGTGTAAAATAATACAAATTCGAAAATATAACAAAAAAAGTAAAAATTGAGAATTAAGTACATACATACCTAATTTGAAAATTTTGAAAATTCAGTGAATTCGAAAAACTGATAGACCTACTTAAATAACATAATACTTCGAGCTTAGCACACAGCTAAAATTTCAAACTCAAGTGAAATTTGACACACTTTTTCCATGAATGAAAATTTTCAAAAGCATCCATTCATTAGGTTTGTTCCCCAATTTCCCCTACCTGGGTCCGCCACTGATGTAACAGGTCGATTTAGTCTGACATTTACGGCACCTTTTCTCACTTGTCGATTTTTAGTAATAACTAAACTAATTGCGAAACTAAACTATCCAGAGACCTACTCCAGCAAACACACGAAACTTTGTTAAAATCCCTCCAACCATTTAGGATTTCACTCAAAAATATACCTACAGAAGAATTATATACACATTCAAAGATAAGTAAAAGTCAGTACGTTTATACTTTTCCACGCCCTCTTTTCAAAGAGCCCATTTTTCTCAATGAGTATAGATTCATTTCATATATCTCCATACGAAGTGTTCCAGTACTGTACCATGAACAGATATGCAATAAGAAAAACTAGACTTATATGGGAGGAGCGACGCCCCCTTTTCAAATAGTCCGAATTTTTCTTCATGAGTACGCGACTGATTTCATATATCTCCATACCAAGCTCCAGTACTCTACCATGAACACTTCAAAAGATACTTATTATGAAAAATTCGGTTTGTATGGGAGATGCCATGCCCCCTTTTCAAATAGTCCACATTTTTCTTCATGAGTATGCGACTGATTTCATATATCTCTATACCAAGTTCCAGTATGTTACCATGAACACTTCCAGAGATATACAGTATGACAATTTCGGTTTGTATAGGAGGTGCCACGCCCTTTTCCAATAACTCCAATTTTTCTCTATGAGTATGTGATTGATTTCATATATATGGAATGGTGCTGCTCCGCTTTTTAATAATAAGGATGAATAAATAATTAAATTACTAAATATAAGATTATTTTGAATTGTTGGAAAATTATTTATATATATTAGAATAATAGCAAACAATAATACAAAAATTTTACCATGAACGCTTTCAGAAAAATGCAGTATGAAATATTCCAATAGCTCCAATTTTTCTGAAAGAATATGTGATTGATTTTATAACTATATCTCCACTAGGGATGTTGCGAATGTGGAATTTCAGACATCCGCGGATGCGAATACGGATGTGAATATCTAACAGCTAACGGATGTCAGGTTTTTTAAGAAACAATTGGAATCTAGCATAATGGAGAGATCGTTGCTTAAACAGCGCTTACAAGCCAAACCAGATGTGTCAGATTTTTTTATAGCTTTTTAAAAAGAATTCTTCATTCTGATTCCTTTGGCTGTTTCAGAATTTGGGGAACCTGTAACTCCATCTGCGTTTTTCGATTTTAGTTTTTGTAATTCATTTTTAATACTTTTTCCTGCGACTGGTTTGAAAAATATGTGCTTATAGCGAGCTAAATAGGTGGATATGGTAATAAATTATTATTGTCCAGGAATGAAAATTTTGAACAAAATTCTGTTTTAAAAGTCGTGGCTGTCATCCGAATCGGATCAGAATATATTAATTTTTTTTTTGTAAGCCGGCAAGTAAACAAAATTACGGCTTTTAAAATTTTTGCTAAAAATAAATTCCCCAAAGAGCCCCATTTGAAATTACTGAAACGAATATACATATGTAACATCAAAAGCAAATCAAGAAAATTTGGCTAAGAATTACAGTGCACACTTTCTTCTTTTGTGTCTAGTAGTTTTTTGGATTGGTCCAAAGAAAGAAAGAAACCAATGCAGGTATTTAAAGTACAGCAAAAAAATATCATTAAAAGAACTATGTTCTCTTTGACGTACGTCAAAGGTCAAATAGAAGTGGGAACCCATTGATAGCTCGCAAAGTTATTGTAAATGTCGCATTTGTCGCAAAATTGGCCACCTTGCGATACAGCTGATTACTTTTGTATGGAAGCTTTCTAGCGACAAAATTGCGACATTACCATAGTATTTGAGGTGGCAATCAGCAAAGTTAAGGTTGCGAAACACATGTTTTTTTATTGTCTTCAAATACTTAAGGATATCGGTTAAATCTGCTTCGAAATATAATTGTAAAAACTTTTATTTTTCTCT